CCAAATCTGCAAGCCGTTGTACGGAAATATCCCACCCACACGTCGTCCAGAGATCCTTCCCCGTCCCCGTTCATCCCTCCCAACCAACCCCTCTCCACCCTTCCCTCCCATCTCTATTGTCTTGATTCCTTCATGCGCATGTGCATGCTGCAGTGCTCCGAGAGAGAGAGAAAAAAAAGATTGAGCAAGCGTATTTAATTTTAATTGAATCAAGTTAAATAGTATTGGTATTCACAGCTCTCCCTTTCTCTCCCTTCTCTCTTCTCTCTCTCCATCTCTCTTGACTGTTTGCATACACTCTCGCACCAAGCAAACTGGGGAAAGGTGCAGGAACTCGAGAGCTAGAGTGAAAGAAATAAGAAAAATAAGTACACAGTCTGCCAGTGTGCGCAAAAAAAAAAGGTTGTGAGAGATTATAATAAGTGTGAGAGTGGAAAAAGAGGGAAAAAAAAGGTGACGAGAGCTCGACAGCCACTCCGTAATCAATCACCATCATTATCACAGTCGTCCAGTGAACACTGGTCAACTAGTCAATCCTTTCCCCCCCAAGCAAACCCACAAACAAACCCACCCTGCTAAGGTCCGGGCTTCAACCGTCACTACCCTACCACCTTCTCCCCTCCTCCGGATCACCTCCTACTTTACGTACATAATAGCGTCCTACCTATCTCTCCCGGCAACTTCCTCCTCTCGTTCACACGTTCACACGTTCGCATTTTTTTCATCTTTTTCGTCCTTCGTTGCTGCAGCGACTTATATACCTCTACTTTCCAGCGAAAACTAATACTCTCACGCGCTGTTGTGCATTTCACAAGTCCCTGGTTGCGTTTACGGCTGAGTTTATCAACTTCGCTTGGCATCTTTTCGCCAGCATCCGTTCACTTTATTGCGCCTCATCCATCCACAACTACGACCGGACGAAACCAGAGTTCGCCGCGTTAGGAATTGTTTATTCAAAAACTGTATCGAAATTTCACCAACGCCGCTGTGATCAAGTTTGAAACACTAAGTTTCTTCTGAGAGACGGTTTAAAAACAAGGGAAGTTGGAAGGGAGGTCACAACAAACATTTCGAGGGGAGGGGAAGAAGATAAAGGCCAAAGGCGGGGCAGATAAACGTGCTTTCTAAAGAAGAGAGAAAGATAAGGTTGTAAGAAAAGGAAGAAAAAATCTTACAAGAGAAGGGACTGCATTCTTCTGTAGAGAAGCTCTTTGCACAATATCCATTCCCTGGCTGTCTGTTTTCACATGGCCATCACGTACTAGAGCTTTTGACTCCTTTTACGACAGAGGTATCTTATAGGGGACAGCGCACAAAGAGGAACATTTCGCGAACCATCAACGTTGTAGCCGCCCGGTAAGACTATCAAGTGGCCCGGGCTCCCGCTTTGGTGCCTTTCTTCAGGGTCGCTGCCATATAAGCCGTACCCTCGCATTGTCAAGTGGAACTTCGAGTTTTGTGAAACATCGAACCCCCTTCGTACCTCCGCAACACCAGAGTTTGCTCACCATTTTAACATCAAAAAGTAACTACTCCCGTGAGCTTCGCTGAGAGCATCACTCCATCTTCAATTGCTATTTCCGGGGGGTTGTACTCGACACGCAATCGAGTGAAGCTTGAATGAACTCCCACACGTTTGTTGATGCCTCTTCAAGAGTGGGAAGGCTGAGGAGGTAAGGGATCGTTTTATCTTGCCGAATTATTCTGGGGTTAATGCTAAATTCCACATTTAGTGAGGATTATGAACTACATATCCGCCAAGGGCCTGAACGTGCTCGGGTTGCTGGTGTGAAGGAAAAAGGTACAAATTTCCTGAGATGTCTGTTATTTTGATCCGGTTGTTAATGTTGAGTCTGGGGCTCTAGATCGTAAACCGGTCGATCCTCCGCCGATAATTCAGTTGAAAATTCGAGATGATTCAGATCCAGCACAGTAGGTTATTGCAGTTTTCTTTTCATCGATTCATGCGCTGACGGGGGAGATACAGGAATTACCTCCAGAGTCCTTACTATTTCATGTGCACGAATCTTTATAGTTCTGTCCATGATTCCCCATCTCCAATACCACCGCACCAAGCGTTAGCTGGCACATTAGTATCCTCCCTTCACCGATTAAAGGATATCGACAATAGCGGTATGTCTTCCTTAAATATTGTGAGCGTTAAATACAAGTGCTGACATTTTAGATGGTGGTTTTTTTGTCTTTGGCGACCTGTCAGTTAAAATCGAGGGGGAGTTCCGTCTGAGGTTTAGTCTCTTTGAGATGTTAAAGTGAGAATCCATATCCTAGTTTTATCCTCTGTAGCCACACTGACAGCTTAATTAGAAATGAAGTTGTTCATATCAAGTCGATCACTTCAGAACCATTTACAGGTCCGTTCAGTTCTCTCAGAATTATACAAACTCAATCTAACATTTCCTAGTCTATGCGGCCAAAAACTTTCCAGGAATGTCTGAATCTACTTTCCTGTCTCGCTCATTCGGAGATCAGGGAGTCCGATTGCGTATTAGGAAGGAGCCAAGAACTCTGTTGTTAGAAATAATCCCCCCTAGGTTCACGATGCATGGGTGCTAATATCTTATAGAAAACGGCCACCTTCTGGAATAGGATCCGTGGAATATCCGCCACGCCCACCATACCCTACCCTGCCTCCAGAATCAAGACCTCAAGGATATCCACCACAGAGTGGATATATGACCTCTCCAAGCCACGAATACCCACCTGTTTATGGCGATCAAGGGAAACGACGGAGGACTGATGTTATGAGCCCGCGGGATAGTCGGGGGGAACCTCAATATGCGCCTCGTCCATACGACCAACCGCAATACCCCATGTATCCGCCCTCATCTCAATCTGGGCAATATTCGGCATACCCCAATTACCCACCGCCGCAAAATTCATATGCACCCCCACCTCCACCTGATTATAGCGGATACCGTCAACCACCACCACCCCCACCACCGCCACCACCACCGACGCACTCGCATTCCTCGTCGACCTCCTCACCATACCAGTCCCCGAGGACTCAGCAATACCCACTGCACCGTTCACCTCTGCCTCACAATCAATCCGCCCCCCAAAGTCAATATCAATACCCACCTGGTCCTCCACAGACACAGCTCCAACATGGCCAACAGCCGCCTTCTCGGCCGCAAATCGGGACCTTGATTAGGTCTCCCGTGCCAACATCAGGGATACCTCCCCCACACCCGAGATCTCAACAGGTCCAGCACCCCTCTCACTTGAGCTCAACCGCATCTCCTGCCTCATCGATGCCTATGGCTCCGCCACCAGCGTCGCCTCATCGTCAGCAGCCTCAAGGGAGTCAGGTGTATCTGCCCCCTTTGCAATTGCCGCCGATGACATCCGGCCCGCAGCAGTCTTCGGTGGTGTCACATAATGCCATGCCGCCGATGTTAACTCAACAGTCTGGGTATGGTCCTCCAACGTCCTTTGATTCCGCTGCTCAACAGCAGTCTTCCGCTTAGCCACCTTCTTATGCTGGTTCTTTCTATTACGCAGTTACGGTCGAAGCGAGGGAGATAAAAAAAGAAAGAGAGCGTTTGAATAACCCTTGTTATTTTGGAGCGTAATGTGCATTGCCTCGGATTTTGGGTTTGTTTATTTCTGTTATCATCTCATATATTATGGATTTTGAGTATATTGCGTTGTTTCTTTTCCTTTTTTTCTTTCTTTTTTGGGCTCGAGCATGAGATAGGTTTTTAATGCTGTCGAATAAATAGCAGAGGAATCAAAAGGGGGCGAGGTGGTGACCTAGTGCTCGGGGAACATAGTGGGGTTTCTTTTCTTTTTCATGTTCAAGGCGCAGAATTTGGCGGTTTCATAGCATCACGATTTCGAACGACATATTCATATATCAATAGGGTTTTCTTATTTTTTCTATATTTTCTTTTTATCTATTTTTCTTTTGGGGGCAGATGATCGCAGAAATATATTGGGCACTCGGAATTTTCGTATCTATTTGGTTCAACTGAAATTGTGGATATATGGGTTATTTTCATTTCAGTAATTGGAGTGAGAGAAATGCTCGGGGTAAGTGAAAAATAGAGTATTCAACAGGTTTCATCCCATCTTGCGTTTCTTCGGGTGACAGTGCATTATTTTCTCATCATGTAACATATCTATGTTTCACGCAGTCACGTTGTTTCCCGTGATATATCTGTGCAAAGTGAGGGAGCAGGAAGCCTAACCTTGCGTCTGCATAAGCATACACCATGTAGATAGTAGAGTTTTACAGCATACAAATTTTTGGAGGCGGATAAAGCTCCTTACGGTAGCTCAGATCGTTTAACTTACCGCGTGCTGTCCAGACTGACCAATCGGCAAAACCACGAGGCGCACAGGCAATAATAAACGGAATGTGTCTTAGTTTGCGCCATTCGCTTCCCAGAAGCTGCAGGGCTTTAACTTTTTCCAGTGTCTCAGCTACGGAGCTTCTTTTGGGCTGGCAGAGCCCCAGCTCGGATTACTTCGGTTTCTCATCTCCCATTGGTCCACCTCGCGGATGCACCAAGGTTACCTGGCGAGGATGTGCAGTTGCCGTGCCACACGGCTGCCGAGCCTCAAGGGGAGCCACTCACTAGCTTTGAAGATCACGATTCACCAAATTGGCAACATGCCCACAACTGAGTAGGACCACGTGAGAGGGTGTATCAGACCACCCGCGCGCCCAACAGCTTATTTTGTTGTGCAGCACACACCATTTGCTGTTTCAAAGCGAGAGAAAACGGAAACCCTCGACTCAGACATTGAAGTCTCAGAACTGATAAAGTGCCATCACTGACGCACTGGGAAACTACAAAAGGGCATCTCAGCTATAAACTGGCTATCTTACAGTGAAGTGAGTCGAATGCTGAATGGTCCTCATAGGTAGTTCACGCCATAGGACTCCAAACCCTAGTTTTGAAACTCGCCTGCATTGGTGGCGTCCCTTCTCATCTTTAACCCACTATTCTTCCAGTGTTGAGACGAGAGCAAATATGGCAAATCTGGTGACTGACATTTCCATCGTGGGTGGTTGGAATCCACGGATCAAAGACTCGCCCGCTGAAGTGTTCATTTACACAAAGGTCTTATATCCCCTTGTAACATGCAGTCTATGTTTCCTGTCCCTTGCATCATGTTTCCCTGTTGGTTCTAGAACCATGGTCCGGCAGCGGTAAATCTGAGGCTAACTTAATATTTCCCGTGGTTGTTTTGAGCCAAAGATCACTCCGCAGCCTGCCGCAAAGGTTTCTCTACTCCACCTCCAGAGCCTTGTTGTAAAGACAACCCTGTTGCGTGTTATCCCGCTGCTTCCGGATGGTACCAGCCCCCGTGAATCCCCAGGAATCCGTGCCTTAGGGATCCCGGTCGTTGCTGGGAGGAACCGCACAGTTCCTCAGACCCCGGTCAATCAGAGAAGATTCAGTGAAGCCACACTGGACGGTGTCGAATCAGTCACTTCTTGTGACTCTCAAAAAATCTCACATGATGGCGAAAACCCTCCTAGAGAGGCGGGGGAGAAGCAAGACGTAGAGGCCGTTCGAGGAAGGCTGGAGTCAATTAGTCGCGGCCTGTTCAGGCCTAAACTTATTTCTAGATCTGACCTGTCCCACAGATATGAAGAAAGTTCTTCAGACGAGAGTACAGAAGACATATTTTCCACACCTCTCAAGAAGTTCGACCCTAGAAAAATAATAACTTTCCCCGGTTTTGGGCAAGGGCCTCGTGTGCGTAGCGGGGGGTTTATGTCTCCTGAGGCGGGCATAAGTTATTTTCGAGACATTAATGGGCAGTTTAAGCAAGCTGAATTTTCTGATTGGCAAAGCACCCTCGGCCGCTCTAACAATTCTTGGAATCCCACTGTACCTCGAAACTATAAAAGGAAGGCTAGGATCTGTTCAATCAGTTCTATCGGGAGAGAATTGTCTCCGATGACAGAGAGGACTCTGAAAAGAATTGTCGAGCTTAACGCCCCGGTTGCTGATGTGAACATTGGGGGAGATGGCGCTTCCGAAGATTCAGAGGCAGTGTTGCGTTCCTCTAAAATTGCTGCAGGAAATGCAACGGCGGCAAAGAGTTCTTCGGAAAGTAACACCATGATTGCTCTCGAAGGAGAAATGGCGCCACAAGAGCTTCTTGAGGTGGGCGATGATACAGCACCTGCTGCTGTGGATGAAAATGATGGGTGTGAAGACGAACAAGCCGTTTGTAGTGAAACTACAATGATTATTGAGAAAGATACATTATGTATCTTCTTCCCAAACAAAATCCGTGGTGATGCTGTTGGTACGCCCATGGAAGCCCCCCCTTTTAGTCAATCGACTTTCTTTCTGATTATGTTACAGTTATCGAAGTAATGTTGGAGATCAATCCACTCTATATTGAGGGAAAGACCTATGCAACTTTTATCCTCGCAGGTCTACCACATTGTAAAAACGGCGCCTACATCAATTTTCGGATCGATGATGAAGATGATTGGAAGTTTCACACTTTCCCAGCACTCAATACTGTTGAAACGGGAGACACAGAGGAAAACAAGCTCCACGGTATTCTTGACTTGAACTTAGAAACTAACCCTATCCATCTTGACCGCTCTGTTGTTATTAGAACACTTCGGTGCCCAATGGTCCTCGAAGTGTTGGAATTTGAGATGAAGACGAATGTTCAGATGGACTTCTCATGGTCGCCCTTGAATGAAAAAATATCTGGGGAATTTGAGATCACTCTTTCCTTTCTGAAAGTTGAGTCAGACGAAGATGCAAAGCGCAGTGTCATTAATCTTTTCCTTATCAATGGTCCCGAAAGACAGGATGGGCTGAGCGTCGACTCTCCTGGGGGCTTTCCAACAGACTTTGTTCTTGGGGATCGTGAATTTCAAAACCATGAAATTAGTGCACGACGTTGCAGGCTCCTCCGGGTTGAAAGACTAACGAAAGACGTTAATCAAACTCTGCGGGTTCGGTTTAATAAACAGTTTACATCAGTGACACAGGATGTTGGTATTCCATTTGTCCGGACTGGTGGTGATACCACGATCCTTGAGGAGAGTGTCACAATCATAAACGCTAAATTACCTCTGGAGGCTGCATTTACTCCAAATTCTAAATCGTGGAAACTGTCCAAAAAGCTTGGATCCGATACCTTTAAGACATTTACGAGAGCAGAGGTAAATATGAGAGAACCAAATCCATCTGTCTCTATTTCATGCCTTCAACCCGCAATGTCTCCCACGGCAGAAGCAATGAATCTGGCTTTAATGAGGGGCCGTGGTGAGTTTATTGACAGAATTGACTACAAGGTTGAAGAATCCGAGTGCTTTGATGATAGAGAAACTCCGATTATAGTAGTTAAAATGAGTTTTGAGCTTGATGTTCCTCCCGGTGTAGAACCTATGGGAGAAATCATTCGATTTCATATTGGGAGTTTCGCATTCCAGTTTGTCACTATTAACGGGGGGTTGACCGGAAAAGGTGTTCTCTTTGAGGATGGTGATGAACTGATAGTTTTAAACTTTGGAATTCTTGATGGCACTAAGAATGGTGAGAAATTACTGATCAGCGCCGAATGGTTTGGCGAACAAGGCTTGAGGCTCTCGTGTGGGGAGATAATAGAATTCAGATTACCAAGGGTGACGGGAAAGGTTGTGGGAAAAACTGTCTTTGAGTGTGCAGATAAGAAAGGTATGTTATAGATATGCGTGCTTCCATCCCAATCCATAATCTGTACTACTAACATGGATCAACGAAATCTTATAGCTTCCATCCTATCTCTGCAATTAAATTACCAGAATAAGGCCACTTCTGGTTTCACCAAGGGGAAGGCCATAATATTGGGTATGGACACTGATAAGAGTGAGATATTTTTCCATATTCCATGCAAGATTGTCTGTAGGTCCTTATATGGTTCCATTGTGACCACGAGCGACGTTTATGGCACTGTTTCGTCAAACTCTCGTTTATTTGGGAGTCTAGAAAATCAAGAACGGCCAGCTTGTTCACTCGAGAGTCTAGAGGGCCAAGAACAGCTAGAAAACTCTGCACAGGAAGTTCATCAGGAGCACCGAGATGTCGCACTCCATTGGATGTGGGAGATGAAAGAAACGTTGATCGTCATCATGATCATCTGGATGCTTTGCATGAGCCTGGTATCACAATCAAAGCAGAACTCGGCGCTTAGAGCTTCACTTCGCCAGACCGCAATCATGTTAGACCAGAGAGAGATAATCAACGATCAGAAAACACCCCCAAAAAACGAGCCCCATACGCAGTCCCCAAGAAGATCTAGAGGGGGTTCTGAGGATACGTGGTGGTCTGTGGTGGGTCTCGAAGACACTCAAGAGATCGGCCAATTTAAAATCGGCTTTTTAAAGATGGATAACCCAAACTCTGATCATAGGACCTGCGATCCAGCGGAAGCTGCTGTCGATTGCAAGAACAGTGACGCGGAGACCGATACACCGGTCGTTGATGTGGGGAGCAACTCCGATGTTGTAGGGCAAGCCGAAGAGATAACATTAAAGGCACCCGATAAAGCAAAGGACCGGGCAGAGCAGGGTAGCAAGGAGCTCCAGAAGAAAGTAGCACTGCTCCTGCAAGAAAGTTTTGCAGAAAAGGCCCAGCGCGTTATAGTACATGTGCTTGAGTTCTTCTGGCGCCTTGTATTTGGGGGAGAGCGTGCTGAATTGTAATAGCCGCTTTGGGGGACCGGCGGGACGGATTAGGCATTACTCTAGAGAAAGTAGTGTTTAGCGGACCTTTGCACAGAGGCTGCTCGTTGTTAATTATAGTTTTTAATAAAAGGGCTGGATCCCTATTAAGCGTGTTCGTGTCATTAAATCTCATAAGTGATCTAGAGGCGCCATGGGAATGTTCGCGATGACCGAGTGATCTTTCATGACGATGAGTGTAGAATACAACATCCCCATTTATCATAGACAACCTCTGGATTACTGTGTAGTAGATTGATCCCCATCAACAAAGACAATCCGTAGACCATACTCTAGTTCCAGGCCACCACAGCACATGAAGACTCAATTTACGAAGAGGGTTAGGTTTTATTTAACCATCACCGAGAACTATTCCGGGAGACGTTCCTTGATGTTATTTGGGGAGGGGGGGGTGGTCCAGATTCAATTTCTATATAAATGCCGGGACCGGGGAAAAACAAGCAACTTTTACACCCCCTTCACACACAAAGCATAATGAAAAAACACCATATCTCCTTCCTCCCCCTCCCTCAAGCACCACATTGAAGGGAGGGCCGGGGACGGAGGGAGAGGAGAGAGGAGGAAAAATAACCAAACACTATAAGCAAAAGCAACCCCCCCCCCTCCGCCCCCTACAAAGCCATTAATACCAGCCAGAAAAGAAAAAAACATAAAAAAACATAAACCCCCCCCCCCCCCCCATCCCCCATAACCCTATAACCAATATCCCCCCCTCTTCCTCCGCACCCAATTCCAACCCCGCGACAGCTCTACGCACCCCCCTCCACCTTCACCCCCGCGCCCGCGCCCGCCGCCGCCGCAGCAGCAGCAACAATCTCCCGATGCTGCTCCTCCAGCCACCTTGCGAGCGCCAGCAGCGGCTCCTTCGGCTGCTCCCGCGCCAGCATCTTCATCCCCTCCAGCAGCACCGGCGTCACATTCTCATTGAGATACCTCCTCGCGGGGGCGCCCCCGGGCGGGATCTGGTTCTGGCGCGCCGCTGCCGCCGCCGCCGCGGGTGCGGGTGGTGGCGGCAGCGGCGGGGGCGTGGTGGTGTGGTGGAGGAAGTAGTTGTTTTGCTTTAGTGGCCAAGTGTTAGTATAGATTTTTTTTATCTGTAGAGGGTGGGTGGATTGAGGGAGAATTGAGGGTCGGGAGAGAGGGAAGGGGCGGGGGGGGGGGGGGAAAGGGGGGAGGTACCTGCGAAGTTGGCGACTGCGTCGACGTCCCCGGCGGGGACGCGGTGTACGGGTATCCCGAGCCCGAGCCCGAGCCCGAGCCCGAGCTGTACGGCTTACTCTGCGGGCTCTGGGCCTGGTAGGGGGACGTCATCTGCGCGTACGCGTACGGCTGGGGCGGGTGCGGGTGCTGCGGCGGTGGGGGGCGGAACTGCTCGTTGACGGGGGAGTGGGAGTGGGAGGGGCGGTGCGTGCTGCTGGCGTAGTCGGGCGAGTGCTGGGCGGCGGAGGTGTAGCTGTTGTAGACGGATGGCTGTGGTTGTGGGTGTGGATGTGATTGTTGTGGGTGTGGATGTGGGTGTGGATGTGGATGTGGATGTGGATGTGGTGGTGGATGTGGTGGTTGGGTGATGGTGGTCGTGGTCGTGGTGTAGTCCGGGGGTGGAGGTGAGGTCAGGCTGGTCATGGACAGATCGGCCTTTGAGCGGTGATGGGGCGCGTGTTGCTGGTGCTGGTGCTGGTGCTGGTGCTGGTGCTGGTGCTGGTGCTGGCCTTGGTGGTGCTGCTGGTGCGGGTCCATCGCTGGCTGGCCCGCGGGGAGGGAGGGGGGGTTTGGGTGCTAGTGGGGATGCTAGGATGGATGCGGGATGGGGCTAGAGGCTAGAGAGAGGCTAGAGGGGGCTTCTACTCTAGCTGTTGTTGTTGCTGGCTGTTGCGGTTGGGGGTTGCTGGACCGTTGTGCTTGTAGAGTACTAGCAGTGGTTGCGGTCTGTCGCTGGCCTGTGCCCGAGCTAGTAGGGATGTGGATAGACGGGGGAGGGATGAGGGATGAGGGATGAGGGATGAGGGAGGGGTGTGGGGCCTGTGGTCACTGGCTGGCTGTCTCTCCTGGTAATGGTTCAACGTGGGATCGAGGGATCTCAATTGAAGGCAGAGCGGATATGTAAGTGATCGAGTACGGACACCGCGGGTGTGTGGCCAAGCGCCGGTATAGCAGGATAGAGTGGATGGGCGGTATAATATGGGAAGTCCGTCCGTTTACACGAGGCAAAGATCCCCCACAGGGCGAGGGAGTCGCGTTCTGTATCACCGCTTCGCGATATTGCTTCCTGCCAAGACACTGGGTGCATAACGGGCAATAACGAGCACAGTGCATATACGGCCATCTTGCATATTGTGCATCTGTGTAGACAACAGAAGGATCGCTTGAATAGCATAAAATTACAAAAAAGGACTTTTATATCTACAAATGTCTGACAGCTACAGCCAACTAACTACCTGCCATTATTGGTATATATAGCTATTACGTTTCAACCTCAGGTACTTTGCTTTCACCCGATGCCTTGTCCTCGCCACCAGTAGCTCCCTCCTCGCCAGCATTGCCTTTTCCGTGCTTCCTTCTTCGCTTCCTCTTTTCCTGTGTACCTGATTCTCCGTCTGCCTTTGCCGCTCCGCTCGCCCCGGTATCTTTCTTGGACGGTCGAGCAGCACCTTCGCCCTTTGGCTTCGGCGCCTCGGGCTTCTTCTTCTTCTTTACACTCAATGGGTTTGGTCCCTTTGGCCCCCTCTGCTTCTTCTTTTTCTTCCTTTCCTCGCCCTCGCCCTCACCCTCAGCCTTTCCCTCACCCTCTTCCTCATCAATGTCCATCGGGTCATCATTGTCGTCCCTCTTCCTCTTATTTGCATTTGCCGGTTTGGGCCTCGTGTCCTTGATCCCCAGCCTAAACTTGACCATCTCACCCCTCTCCCTCTTTATCGTCGAGATTGGCGCCATTGCCTCCATGATCATGACCGAGCGGTTGATATAGATTAGCGGAACCCCTGGCACTGCTCTCAGTGCCTGTCGCACTTCTGGTATCTGCGTCGCCACACAGTAGCGGTGCTTATTCTCGCCGTTGTGGACGACGACAGACTCAATGCACTCCTTCTCTGGCAGCGGCTCCTCGAGCTCGTGGTGATTACAGCGCCGGCGCTCGAAACGCTTTGCCGTGTCAATGGCGAGGTCCTTGTCTGGGAATTCGGCGGCGGAGAGCTTGTAGAGGTGGCGGATGGAGCATTGTGTTATCACTGTTTTGACACCCCGATGTTAGCTTAAGGTAAGTATGGGGGGGGTATGTATGCCGTAGTTTGGGGGGGGGGGGGGGGTCGGTGTACTTGGTTTCGTTTGGCCGTGGAGGGTCCGTTCGAGACCACCGGCAAGGTCCATTTTAGATTTTGTAGCGTCTTTGACAATCTCCGCATCCACTAATTCACAAGCCGAGTCAGTATCCAAGCAGAACACCTGCATATCGGGCTCAATTGAGCTCACCTAGAACTTGGTAGGGCTCTCGGAAGCCGAAACTCATCTGGTACTGCGACATCAGCTTGCGGTATGCCTTTGATCGCTTTCCTCTCATGTTTGCGGTGTTGGTGGTGAATTTATTGTCTAAAGATAGCTATTCTGGATATTTCTGGTTCTGGTAATGGTAGGTGTAGTTGTAGTCAGTTGTTGCAGTCGCAGTTGTGAAGCGGTGGTGTAATTTTTCTGTGAAGATGCACGGACGCGCCGGGATCTAATTTTTTTAGCCTCACTTCTGGTTCGAGGCTTGGCGATGGGGGAGTGATGGCTTGTGACGCCCCGACTGTCAATGATTTGGATAGCACATACTCTCAAGTCCGTATCCTTTGCAGGTAATATGCTAATTAAAAATAGGGTACTTTTGTAGACTTGGATTCGTGTTCTATTGGCACTTGTAGGCAGAATCAGGGCCGTGGACAGAGTTAGACGATATTAATAAGTTGAATTAAAAGATTTTGTATGTCCAGATTGGATACGTTCAGTATCATCATTGATAGATACCTCGGGGCACCTATTTCACAGTAGCAGCTACAATGTGGTCTGGTGATGGGCTAGAAAGATGTTGACGATAGAGGCCGCTCATCGCGCTATTTATACTAATATCATCCTGGGACTACGATGTCCTTTTCGATGTGTCCTCAAAACAATGCGAAGTGTCTTCACATGCTTACAGCCGTGCTTTACGCGTCTTCCACCCATTTTTCAATACGCCCAGTCACATGTTTCACGATCCTCAATATCCGTCAAAGTACTGATCACGATACCGCTTACTTGGTGAACCATAATTTTCAAGATGAAACCAGAAAATGCCATTCCCTATCCTGTCCCACTATGGAAAAACGTCACAAGTAACTCCGTTTAGCTGCATGAGTTGAAGAAAAGAAGGAAAAAAGAACTTTTGTTGATTGTTATTTTTATTTTTATATCCAGTTTTTGTTCCCAACCAAATACGCCCATTACCACAACGTTACGCTTAAGCAACAAGGGCGGAAGCAGTGGCGGACTCGCTGTAGAAAGAAAAAAAGAAATCGTCAGCACACTACCCAACAAAAACACAAGCAAAATTCGGGGGAAATGGGGAACAAACTATTTCCAGACAGGGGGCAAGACACCGACGGTCTTGTAGTAGCGGGAAAGACGGTGGATCCTGGACTCGATGAGAATGAGACGGAACTTGGAGTCCTTGTCTTTGCGGTTGCGCTCAAGGTGCTTTCGGACGGCGACGGCCTTCTTGATCAACATGTACAAGTCCTCTGGGATCTCGGGGGCGAGGCCTTTTTGTAAAATATCACTCTGTCAGTCACAATGACCAAGCAGAGGCAAAACTGAATTGGGGGTTTTCGAGTTTGCGCCCTTGGAGGGGTGAGGGGGGAAAGAATTCATGGAGGCGCTATACCGTTTCCTTTCAAGATACGGAGGATCTTGTTACCTAAAATGGGTGTTAGCGAATCAAACTATTCTTATGGGGAGAGATAGAAAACCGTACCAGTAACAACCTTGACCTGGGCAATTCCGTGGGAATCACGGAGGACAACACCAATCTGCGAAGGGGTGGCACCCTTCTTGGCGAGCTTGCAGATCTGCTCGACGACCTGGTCGGGGGTGGTCTTGAGCCTGTTCCTGTGTTAGTAATTTCGTCCTTTCTCGCCCGAGAATTTCTCGTGAAATTGGGAGTTGAACGAACCAGCTAGGGGGGGTCCTAGAGTAGGGGATGGCGGAGGCAGAGATACCCTTTCCGTTGGAGTGAAGACGACCCATTTTTGCTGATTATTTGTGGTTTTTGGTGGAACTGGAGTTGATAATTTGGCGATGTGTTGTCGTTGGTGTTGTAAAATTGTTCGGCCAGGCTTTCGCGATTGTGGGAATGGAGGTTGAGGTGGGGTCTTGGCGATTAGGCTTTAGGGTTCCGCTTGGGAAGAAGCAGTCACTTCTCAACAAGCGCGAGACGCGATTGATAGTCTGTGACGCTAACCCATGTTTCAACAAAATAAGGTTCGCTTCCCGCTTGTTACTTTTGGAGCCAATCAAAGTCTTGAAACCCTTGTCTCGTCTCGCTTTTCGCGCCAACATGTGAACACAGCTACTCTTCTTCTAGAAAGGTGGAATATCGATCATTCACTTGAGCTGCATCTCGCCTCGACCGTTTCTGGCTCACTGAATCCGACCAGTATCACAGGAGTCAATTTACGTGGACGGCAGCCAACAGCGAAGTACGAGAACACACGACTGGAGCAAAAAACAAATAAACTCCTATGTGCCCACCCTTATCCTGGGACGACCGCATTTGTCGGTGCTTTATCTGCTAGCTAGGCTACCAGCATATATCTACTCATTTGCATTGTTGTTTTTCTGGTACCTCTGGCACAGTGCGTCGGGAAACCGTTATCAACCAGAAAATGGGGTTTGCGTAACTGTTGGAATAACAATATAGCTCCATATCGTAGATCCAGCAACATAGAGATCTTAAGAAGAGAAGAAGAGGTATCAAAAACTGCAGGAGCCCGCAATATACAAATGAGGATCCCGACCCAGCCCACGCACGCACCTACCAATTCTCCGAGATACTCTCGTAGATCGGAGGTTTATATCCGCTTGTGCGAGCTGTGGGAGGGTCCTTGCACCCATCGATGATGATTTCTGTGTGTCCTAACGGTGTGGGGAGCCTATGCTGTGTCTAACGTTCAGCTTAATTTTATATCTGCAGTTTTGCGCTTCGAGGTTGGTGATCAAAATGCGGAGACCTGCAGAGTGACACTCTGTGAAGCAAATACGGTATCGGATAACGGTGCGAAATCACCATACCATACCATACCAAGGCCGCATTTGAAGAGGAAGCTTTGTGACCTGCGTTACAATTCAACAGTCTTGCAGCGATATATCGGGTCAAGTATGACCTAAGGATAGATTTGATATCGTCGGTTTATGGGATCGATTTTCTTGTTCAATACGGTTTAAAATACCGCAAGCTTACAATGAGTTGCAGTAACGCATTATCCATGTGCCCAGCCATGCTCACCATAAGACTCGGCGTACTAGAACAGTACTCATCCAAGTTGAGACACCGCTTCCGATATGGGGCCCGGGGAACACTCGGAGAACGTTCTGTACCTGTGCCCGTATGCAGATTTAACACATAAACACAGATGTTATGGAGTGTTAGAAAAAGCTCGAGGCCCCGGGCTTCCTCCGTGGTCTCTAGTTAGGTTTTGAGCACTAGATTATGGCTACACTTAGAGGTCATCAGAGCAGCCAGAATGAGTCAATTCAGCTGCAGGCGGTACAGGTTGAGGAGTAAAAGCTCAGTTTTTAGATGGCCAAGGCGCACAGCCATTTTGTTAGTCCGCCACCACAAAGAGAAGCAAGCCAAAGCTAGAGAATTTAGAATCTAGTATTGAGATTTGAGTATGAGATTTAGAGAGGAAATTGTGCAATACGAAGGGAAGGTACATTTTTTTCCGCCAGTTAGCAGGACACGCATACAGAAAGGCTTTCTGGTATCAGTCCAAATGGCCAAGTCCTGCCGGGCTGTGCTTGGGTCTAGGATTTGGCCACAACTTATTACAAATATACTCACAACCGTGTGTGTGCTCGAGCTCTAGTTCTAGATATATGCATATATGTGTGTAGATATGTACATGTAAGTGCCTCTTTTCTGGTACCACTAGACACCCTGATGCCAGTACATTTACGTTTATGCACTCTTATGACCCAAGTTCCGGGTAGATTTGCAAATTTGAGGCGCAAAAATTAGAAGAAGAAAAACTTCTGCGGAGAAATTCGAAAAACCAAGTAATTGGCGCGGCTCTGTCCGGATCCCTGTTTCTCTTACCTACATATTTTGTTTTCCTTTTTCCAAGATAGCGATTCTGTCGACTGACAGCTACAAATTTATAATCACGAGAAACGTGATGTTTTCCCCGAAATATGCGTTTTTTTTGAATATGTATTATAAAAGAAATATATTCAACTGAATACATGTAACCAGTACCGCGCATGCGCATAATCATTCCCCATCCTTTTCCCCGGCCGAGGTTTAGGTGCCGGTCCGTCCCCAATGACCTACCGCAGCGAAGTACCGCATCCGGCTATGTGGCACCACTCATCTAGTATCACTCGACGTCCCATGGGGTTTTTGAGTAAAGTATCAGAGGGCGGACAACCGACCTCCCCCCCTCTGCTAGGAATCATTGAGCTCTACCTCCCCTCCCTGGTAGCATAAAAATTCCCCGATCGAGCCTATACCCATCGCGTCGATTCGAGGTACTCTACACCTACTCGAGCCTTCATGTCACCCTATTCTTCCGGTGCCGTAGAATCTCCCGACTGGACTTACCAGTCTTGGCATGCCTTCTTCAACCACCCCCCTCCCCAGTATATACACAGAATCGATCGTCTCAATCACTTCCTTACTCTCCTACCTGCCGACAGACGACCCCGTGTCCCTTTGAGCTACTACCGCTGGCTGCCGGTAGTGTGGAGCTAGAGTACCGCCAGCGCAATGCACGCAAGGGGTGAGAATGTTGGGGTCTATGATATTGATGCCCCGCGCACGTAGGTACATGCTACTTGGCGGATCCTTCTTGAGATAGACCCCAGAATATGAGGGTCTAAATCATAATATCGTTCGTTGATAGCTAGAAGTGGTTGTTTATATCGACCGATCCATATTATAGACTTTTTTTTTGAATGGGCTGGGGAGCAATGAATCGGACCCCGCAGATTTATGCCATTCCTGTGGTATGCAGGAGGCAAGGGTTTTTATTGAATGTGTGTGTTTATGTGTGTGTGTGGAGGGATAGGGATAAGAACAACAGCAAGAAGAAGAAGGTTGCTGTCGAGTGATGTAGCATGATGAGTTGCCCTGGATTGGGCAGAATGGGCTGATTTGCTAGGGCCGGTGATAATGGTGCTGGATCCTTGCCCTGGCTTATCTGCGTATAAAAAGATATGTAGTGAGAAGCTTAAGCTTAGGTTATATTGTAGCAGTAGTACCTACATTCATACTACATGTATGTACTCTATGTAGATGTATGTAGCCCCATTTCAGTTTCCCCACAGATCAATATATTAACCTATTCACCGCTGCCACTGGCGTAGCGAGCCCTAAAGAATGAGCGCCAGATCATAATAGAATAAAATAATAGATTTGGATAAGTAAATTACCCACGTAGCTAGATGGATGGACATCTTTCACCGATACCCTTCACTGATATCTCCCATCCAAATATATTGATGGTGGCGAAGAAACCGGCCAGCCCAAGAAATATAGAAACCGGCTACAGTCGAATCCCCCTATAAGGGTACGTCGGGACCGAAATTTGGTACCCTTATAGAGCCGTTACCCTCATAGGAGGAGCAAATTTGTACCTACGAAGGCTAATGAGGACCCTAAACACCTACCCTTATAGGGCGATTATTCTTATAGTGGGTACCATTATAGGGAGATTCGACTGTACAACGTAGATCTTTCTAACCACCTGCGTGAGTGGGGGCCGATATATATTGACTAAGTAAATGATTCAAATGTCTACTGTGATGTCAGCGAGTTCACTGTTTCCTAGCAAGAACACATCGCCCCGGCCCCAATTCCCTAAGAATTCTCGACATGCATTTCGACACCTAGAGCCCGATGCCATGTCCGGCAAACAATCCAAGACCAAAATATCAAACTTTGTCGTGGCTTACCTCAACCCCCTGAACCAGTTAGCTGAAACATGTCTGTTCGCCAAACTTTGTTTTCCCACCTCTAGTCCGAGCCCTCATTTGCGTTGTCTTTCGATCATTTCCCAGGGCCACCCAAGACCGTCGATACCATGCTGACACAGCGCCCTTCCCCGGTGTTTACTATTCCAACTTAAGCTTCATGGCGGATCAAACAACCCCTAACATGAGGGTTAGGGTTCCAGTTCAAAGAAAAAAGTCATACGATGTTATGCGTATCCGAGGACTTGGTAAATGCCTCAGCCTTCTCATACTTTATTCCAACAACTCTTCTTCTTCCTCCCTTCTTTGTGACTGCATAGCATGTCCATCGTCTTTTTTTCTTTGCTTTCTTCTACGGCTTCTACTATTGCTTGGTCACTCAGGATGATCGGGTGGCCGCATCATGGCACATCGAAGCAATGAGACAAAAAAATAATAAACAAGCACGTGGAATTTTTTTTCTCGAAACATGTTAAATTCTAGGCATAGTGATTCTAACCTGTTACAGAGTACTACTTTACGGCCTTGGAGGAAAAAAAATAAAAGCCTATCCAAGCCATCGAACCAAAAAAGAAACCCAAACCCATATGCAAATACAACCCCAGAGACGACAAAAAAAAAGAAGCGACTCCTAAACGGATACAAAACAACTCATCGCGCCAACCTCGCCATACAGCCATGGCCGTGAGAAAAATAAGAAGGAAATAACCCTCGACTCTCCGCAGAAGGTTTCTGCTTCTATGTCTTACAAAACCCGGTGTCTACTCATTTGTAGCAGTAGACATCCGTGTTTGGATCAGCCGGCACTTCCAAGACACCACAGGTCCCGTGAGCCACATCGTAGACGAATCCATGCACCTCGAGTCCTCGCTCCTCCATAGCCTCGATGACACTCTCGTTGCGCTTAATAGAGTTTACTCCGGCCACAACGTTAAGTTCGACAAGGCGCTCGACACGCTTAACCGGGTCCGAGATGGCGGCCAACTCCTCCTTGTTAGCGGCGCGAATGTCGCGGAGGTTTTGCAACCAGTGATCGATCAGACCGTATCTCTTGTTGCCCAGAGCGGCCATAACACCACCACAGCCATAATGTCCGCAAACAATAATGTGCTTGACCTATGAGTCATAGCATGTCAGTGATCACTGCGCACGAAAAAAAAAAAAAAGCTCAACAAAAAAAAAGTGATGGGGAAACAAACCTGCAAGACCTCAACAGCATATTGGATGACGCTAAGAGAGCTCAAGTCACCCGTGGGAAGGATGTTGGCAATGTTCCGGTGAACAAAAACCTCTCCGGGTAGGAGATCTAGAACTGTGGTCTCCGGAACTCGGGAATCACTGCATCCGATCCATAGGATTTGGGGGTGCTGCGCGTTGGCGAGAGCTGGAAAGAGAGCAGGTCGGAGAGCAGAGAGACGTTGAGACCACTCCTTGTTACGGTGGATAAGCGAATCGATAGTGTCGCCGTCGGTGAAGCGGAAGATGCCTGTGAAAAGGTTGTTAATCAACTGGAAATGGCTGTGAATATTGAAGACCAAAAAACTTACTAGGATCGTTGCTCATGGTGTCTGTTGAAGGATGAAGAGGGGTCGGTTTGGTAGTTTTGGTTTGGGGGGGACGAGTGTCGTTAAAATAACAGAGGGAGAGATTCTTGGCAGACTCGACTAGCGCGATATATCCGGTCTAGTTGGATTGGCGGGTGACCGTGTACGGTGATTCGAAGATGCTTTCGTATGTTTATTCCTCTCTGATGAAGATTGATTGGTAGTGGGGATAGGTCCGCGTTGACGTGAGAAGGATTTGACTGTGGGAATGGAGGAAGAAAGGCCTAACAGCGAATGGAAGTGGGAATGTCCGACTGATATTCAAGGCGAGGAGGCAGAGTAAACAGGGAGGACCCTTAAATACAAGCGCTGCACGTCGTTAGGATATACGTAACTAAGTCATATAAAAATAATCCCAATCATAGAATAGTCGCAGAAATGATAAAAACCGGTGTGCTACATCCTGTCGTTTTGAACCTGCATACCAACATGTTATTGTTAGTTGGTTCTGGACCCTTATCTTGGGGAGAAGGGAAAACGTGCCCCACGGTGGGGCGCCCCCAACAACAGGAACGGCATATCGAAACCAAACCATTTCAAACAGACATTTTGACGTGATACATGCAGCAGCATCCCACCTAGCGGGGCGTCCCGACAGTAATTCAGGAATCTCAACCATCTTACTCGGCTGGTCCCTCCCATACCAATGATACCATGGATTGAGATACCGACCGACGGCCGTGACATCCGTGGCGCCGAAATCAGATCATCCTTGCAGAGGTTGCAGAGGGGAAACCTTCAGCTGGTGGTGGTGACTATCATTGGTAAGATTGATGTTGTAAACCCCGATCCCGAACACCGGCGAGAATTGGAGGGGTCACATAAGGCCATAATAGAGTCTCAAAAGTGTGTCTCAATCCCCAAACCCTCGGCAGTAGCGCCCATTCCTGGGTATTGGGGTGTCTTTTCTACTTCTAGAAGTTAAGTGTATTCCAGGTCTGCAGATTGGAGACACAAGGTGTGGGGAGCAAGGGGTTGATGTCCATGTCTCCGCTGGGGTTTCCTCCGGGCTACGATTCGTAAAGACTACTTGGACTGTTGTCAGGATTATGTAGAGTACATGCTTTAGCGCATGGCATTCCAAATGGCTCTGGGGATGCAGCGGGTAAGTAGTTTGGAGGCGCCTGTGCAAGTGCCAGAATATATGTACCTACAGTTCTGATATATATCTCGAGCGAGCGGCCGGAAACGGTTGGATTACATCTGTTCTGACTATTACCTATAAAATTTCAACTTGGACCGCATACAATACCTAGATGTTCTCCTCCTCAATGTGTTTGCAACACCCCGCAATTACAAGTGCTGGGTACATACATGTAGTTTCGACACCCAATATACACGAAACCTGCCAACAAAGGTTATAGAACTTAAGGTTTATATGAACCCACACTGAGAAAGAGACCCAGGATTTGATAAGATGTTGCTTGATTAGTTAGGAAAAGACCGTTTTCTGCCCAAGTATGAAATATCGCCGCCTGTTTTCCCGTTTTCATGTGCCATGGCGTAGAAAGCTCAGCCCTCAGTGTTATAACTATTTACACGTAATTTGGGACAAAGGTGCCAAGGCGCTGTAGTTGAAAGGTCAAGCCCTGAGGTGCATTCCAGAGATCCGTTGAGGCAGAGATGGGCAGATCTAAATGTATGGAGTCCGCGCGCAGCTAATACCAGTCAGGCCTGGGCGACATAGTAGATGAGATCCTTACGTAGTACTGTACATCTATCGACGCCAAAGGACTATCATCCTCGACTGACTCGTAGATAGATAGAGCACAGTCAGTTGTTTTTATACCATTGTACCTACATGTACATGTATACAACCCTGCACCTGGCAGCTACCTGTAGGTACAATAGAACATATGTGTATATACTCCAGTCCTTAAGCTTACTCAAGATCAGCACATATTTTTTTTTTACACAAAAGTACAGAATTGTTTTTTCCGACAATAGTAATAGGCTAACACGAACTATTGTCTTTATTTGTTTCTTTTTGTAATCCCGTGGCATTTCTTCTATTCGATCTTGAAAACTTGAGTATCTATCTGCCGGCATCCATGTTTGATTTGTTTCGATAATCTTGTTGAGAAACTGGTTCAGCGAGATTGCCAAGACTATGTATATTACAAGTTTAAGGTCTTGGCACATTCCCAAACCACCTCTCGCTTAGTAATGCGCCACTTGAACATCATCGCACCACACTTCACACCTCACCTCACCTCTTCTCGCCTACCTTCGCATGGCGTCCACAACTACCAGCCCAGCTCGAACTCCCCTCGCATCATCCCCCCCCTCCGCACCATCAACACCCGTGCAACCAAAGCGCCGGCGGCCGAGATATAAGGACCCCGACGCGGTCGCGCTTCGAACCCGCTGCCGAACCTATCTCGACGAGACTGACCACTCCTTATGGAGCTTCACCGACTTCTGGGGCGGCGACGAAGCCGCCCGTGTTTCGTGTCAGGAAGTGTGGCACCGGGAACTTCTTCGCATCACCAACGCAGACAAAGATCCACAGCGCGCTAGGGCTGCCGTGGTAGCGAGAAATAAGTATAAGCCAGTATGTGATGTACCTGTTGGCTCCTAGGATTCGGTTTCACGGTTAGGATAGCCACCATATCTACGCTGGGGCTCGGATGTGGCCACTCTCGATAAATTGGCACACCAGATCGATTTCGCTCAATCGGTATACCGTCTGAGGAACGGATACTCGACCGGCCCTGCCTGCTCGGCCAATCTGGATTGAGCACTATCTCACCAGCTGGCCTTGATCTGGCTCGACCGGTCGATATCATTATCCCGACCGAAGAATGGTGTCCTACCGGCCCTGCCTGCTCGGTCAGTCTGGATTGAGCTCTGTCTCACCAGCTGACCCTGATCTGGCTCGGTCGGTTTGGAGTTACGGCCCTGCCTGCAAGGTCCGTCTGAGTTGAGCATTGCCCCTCAGACGGACACTGATCTGGCTCGGTCGGTCGATTGAGCGATTGAATGATCTGGGATTACCGCCTTTCGAAGGACCACAGATGGCCCTGCCTGCGCGGTTCGTCTGAGTTGAGCATTGCCCCTCAGATGACCCTGATCTGGCTCGGTTGGTCTGAGTTTGTTGCACTTGCCTTTACGGCTATCAATCCCAGTGAGTGTGGTGGTTTATGCTAGCTGATCTTGATGCAGCGCGGACAGGTGTCTGAAGTATCGAGTGGCAGCAAGGCCGCAAAATCTAAGGCCAAGACACAAAGGCGTGGTGGAAAGGTTAGCTTTCTCCTCCCCTCCTCGCTCTTCTCTGATCAAGGCCCTAAAATATGTAGTCTGGTATATCTGACCCACCACCGCCACAACTACCACCACCAGCATACGAGCCATCATCATCACAAGAAGTAAGGAGCCCCAACCCCAAGCCTCTGAGCCTCCACGAGCAAAAACACGAATCACTACCAGCGGACCGCAGATGGAACCTCCCTACTGGCCGGTCTGTAGAGGATGTCCTCTTTTCGTGGGTGGTATCGCAGTCGGATGAGGCTAGACGAGCTGGACAGGTTCCGCGAGAGTCGTACGCACATTCGTACATACTAGATGTGGATGACGAAGATATCAAGCTTTTGTTCAACAATAAGGAATGGGACACTATTGTTTCCCGGCTTCTACCGTTGCCCACAGTCGATGATTCTTTAAGATCGTTTATGTATAAGTTTGCCGATGTAAGATATATATATTCTAGCTACAGTCGACTATAGTTTTTTTTAACTATCCACTAATCATTAGCGCAGGCTAAAAATACGTCTGAGCTTCGTCATCTGCTTATCTCTACACCTTACCTATCCCCAGACGAGACTTACTCGCTCGAGAAGCATGGCGACCAAGCCTGGGTCCATTCGGCTTTGTCCTCTCTGTTCGTTTATCGCTCCTCTCCGCGCTACTTCCCTACCACTAATACCGCCCCAGCATCATTCTTTACGAGCATAACCTCATATCGAGCAACGATAACCTAGAAGCGTGGTTCCAGATCAACGTCTGGGGCCCTATTTTCGACCGTTGCTTCCAGCACATCCCCAAAATCTCTGTTAAACGGTATTTCCTCTCACTTTCTCTTCTATTATCTCACATACTAACCCAAAACCCTGGCAGCACCGAGTCCCAATCGCTCTCCAATACAACCCGCAAGAACCCCCAACCCCCAGCTACAACCCGTAAATGCATTGGCAATCGATATGACGGCCTCATAACACACAACCGTCTCGAATATGGCGCAGTAGAGGATAGCAAGGACTATGAATACAAGAAGTGGGTATCTGACTCGCTCAAGCTGGTTAAAGTCTTACACGATCAACTACGTGGCCTAGAGACAGAAGTGCGACATGTGACAACGGCACTAGAGGGGTTTCGGTGCGTGGGCTTTTTGACGGCAGGTAAGCTACCGATTGCCTTCTTTCCAGAGAGTTCACTCACAATTACATTGATAGGGCTCGAGTGCCGTGGACTATTCATGCAGTATGGTGGTGGGCATGTGTGTCTGCTCAGTCGCAGCGACGAATACAAAGTCCCTAGAAGCATTTTACCGGTATCCAAGCTTATTGCAGTACTGGTTGGAGTGTGGCAGATGAGAGTGAGTTTCACCCTCTCCCGATTGTGTGGCTAAGTGGGGACTAATGATGCTGTTTGCTGTGAAAGGAGGTCGTAAGAGCGTCTGTCGGGAACCTAGAGGATTTCTTGGCGGATACAGAGATGCAGTTCAAGGTCGCACTGGGGCAGATGGCCAGGCTGCCAGCTATATTGCCGGTATGCCTGGATACGGATGCGGATTTTTGAAGTTGATACCTAGTTCCAAGTTATATCGAAGTATTAAGTTTTGTTGAATTCTCTGCAAAATTTGGGCCTTATCCACGTAGTTATATTGGGGTTATATACGGTACATGTCTTTACGCAGCAACGTATCTCACGGAAAAGTCAGATGTCGCTGTGACGTTGGATATCGTAGAACGCCTTAATTTGCTTTTGTTCTAGTCATCTCAGCTGTTGACCGGTTGTCTGTAATGTGATGTCCAAACAGCTATCTTGAAGCGCTAGAAATATGTTCCTGCATATAAATGAAATTCTTGAGGAAAATCTGCAAAATCACGCATTATAAGCCTTTGAATAACCTAATGATAATGATATGCTTTGGCAGCTTTGCGCTCCAAGAATTAGTTGATGTCCAACCTTGCCAACCAGTAAAGGTTACGGTTTCATTCCCAGTACCTCCGAAGTGACCCTCGTACCCAGTCTAGTATTTTGTGGTTGCTGTGCCAAGACTTTCTGCGAAAGTTGGTGCAACCAAATACCATAACTAACCTCAACTAACCATAAACTAATCACTAACCCTAAATTAACTCAATACCAATCTTTGGCAGGAAACTTTTGCAGAAATCACGTAACTGTCAAGAAGTTTGGGGATGGAATCGAGCTCACCTCCGAAGCATAGAACGCGTAAGCCTTGTTGTCATTGAGAAACCCACCACCCACATCTGAGGTCACCACGAATCACTCGATTTTCTTGGCACTCTTGGCGCCTTGGTTGGCTGTGTTTCCCCGGCCCAGGATCAAGCAACGTCCCCTCCAAGCAAGCCACACACTTCGCTCTGGCGTCTCACACTGGTAGTTGGGTCTTGGGTACGACTGTGGCCATGGAGGCGAATAAAGACTGGGAGTGGGCCTGTGCAGCAGCTTGCAGTACATATGTAGCCTACCAAATCCTTGACTGACAGACCGAATTAAGGACGCAGCATCTTTCAACAACACCCGAGGTAAGAAGCACAGTAAATATACCCGAAGCCTTAGTCTGAGATTTGCCGCGCAACTCATCAAAGGATTATCCGGTTATTCGCGTTAACCTGGGTGAGTGCTAGAACTGATGCGGACACAAATACTGCTGGATATGTGGCGTTCAACTAAATAGGCGTTAAGCTCCTGAAACCTTCTATAGGATAGCTCTAGACCTTGGAGTAGGTGAAGTTGCCCATATTCGTCTCACTAACCCGTAAATTCTGGAGGCGTGGATCGAGTGATAGGCCATGATTATAAGGGAAGACTTAAAAGTAGCTCCCTTCTTCGTATTTACTAGTATCTTTTTAAACCCATACTAGGAGAATATCCCCAAGCTCACCCCCAACCATCCATCGTAACTCGATACACCCTCACTACCCCAGCTTCCGATATACCTCCAGCTCATTCGCAAACACCACCTTCCGGGTGGCGCTTCAACGACAGTGGCTGTGGCGCTCATTTTGTGAGTATCGGCGTGTTAAGGTTGCTTTATCTATAGTTCGAGTAGACCTATGTTCGAGAAACCGTCTGCAGAATAAGTTCGAGTAGTTAGCTGTATCGACTTGGTTTATATCTACTATTTTGTATCCATTTGGTTAGTCTCAATTAATTAGTGAGGTCTTGGCACAAACAGGCCTGTCGCGTTATTTGATTGGTGTCTACTAATATCAACGAGTGCATTTTCTTCCTGTCACGTCAATATATCACAACTAATCATAACAGAAGAAAACAGGTTAGCAATATTGTAGAGATGATTTTCAGAGTAAGTGACTCTGATACAGGCGAGTGAGTATGAATTTGTCTAGAAGTTAGGATACCGACAAAATATATACCAGCTGGGTCAATATGGGGGCGGGGGTCACAGACTCATCCTGACAGAAACTCGTCATAAATTTCTAACTGTGCCCTTTGCATTCGCATAAATAGAAATGCTAGCATGGCCGGCTGAAAACTGGATGTGCCGTCCTCGCAACAGAGGTCAAGTTTTTTTTATCCCTCCATGAACAGATACCTCAGTCAGCGAGCGTGCATAAAGGGTGAACGGACACACGTCAGTTCATGGACGCATGAGCGTGCCTAGAAAACTAGGGTACACCATGCTGCTGCTAGTTCGTCAATGGACAGGACAGTTAATGTAGTAGAATCTACCACATGGGCATTAGGTCATGCCTGCCTCATCAGCGTACATTAAGGAGGTTATATGATACATATATAAAATATTTACGGATAGCAAATAGCTTAGGTATAGGAGATTTGACGGCTTCTATTACTATTAGAGGGAGGAGGAAGATGTTGGATCAAGGCTCTTCAGAATTGCAGTGCTAGTGTTTGGATGTGGGTGAACATATGTGATGACGCGATCCTAGAGTTTGAAAATATTGGGGGGCTCTTAACTTGGTACTCTGATCATCGTCCTTGAGGGCTGCATAAGCGGGAATGGGTTAAGTCTAAAGGCTCGAAAATTTTGGTTTCGATGGGTTAGGGTTAATTACATGTAATTACCGAAAATAGATTAATAATAAACTGTTTTGATATTGAGGTATCTACATAAAGTATTTATGGCTGGCATGATTCCTTTTTCACCAAGAATTAAACGGTAGTTGCAAACCGCCATCACCTACAGCTTATCTGGCAATGCTGTAACTCTGGGCACTATTAGGATTTATCCACTTTCAGAATATCACGCCTTTAGTCCGTGAACTTAAACGAGTTTGTGGTGAAATCAATGGCTCCTCCCTTATAAGACCCCCGTTTTTTCTAGAACAAATGTCAGTCTCAAAATAAAAGAAACATTGCTCTTTTGTGGGGAACAGATGTGCAGCGGTCGGAAAGATCCTTCGAGGATCGAAGGCTATTTTGTGTTGTGTATAATTTGCCTCGCGAGGTTGTGGTTGGAGAAATGGGATACTGGGACTAACCTTATTCTTCTCCTTCGTAAACCCTTTCCCCTTTGTGACAATAAGATCCCTGTGAGCCTTCATTGTGTAGTGGTTTTCCGAGAAGCCCAAAGATTCAAAAGTATTGTCTTTTAGACGCTCGTCCACGTATACAACTTTAGTAGGGTCAACACGCTGGAAAGGCTTCTTTGGGTTGTGTTCTTTGGTGGTAGAGTCATTGATAGAGCTGCTACTAGATCCGCTGTTGGAGTCGCTGGAACTGAGGTTAGGTTAGCAAAGGATATCACCAAAGGTAGGTGGGGAGATTTACGACTCTGCATCCTTCTCTTCCGATTTCACCTTTTTGGATACTGGTTCGTCAGAGCTGTCGCCCCGTTTGCGTTTGTCACCAGAAACCTCTTCTTTCTTCGGAAGATCTTTTGCGGATTTTTGATTCGACTTCTTCGACTTCTTCGACTTCTTTTTGCTCTTCTCGTCTTCAGATGAAGAATCCGAATCTGAGCTTGAGCTTGAATCAGAGCTAGAATCGGAACTAGAATCGGAGCTAGAATCCGAACTTGAGTCTGAACTAGAGCTTGAGTCCGAGCTTGAACTCGAGTCCGAATCTGAACTGGAGGAGCTAGAAGACTTCTCCTTGGGTTTGGCCTCAGTGGTCTTGTTCTTCTTGCTCTTCTTGTCTTCCTCATTAGAGGAATCCGAGTCCGAACTAGAATCACTTTTGAAAGAGCTCTTTTTAGAAGCCTTGCGAGAGGTGGATTTGGAAGATGCCTTTGAAGCAACGCTTTTGCTGTCGTCGTCGCTGTCGCTGTCGCTCTCCGAGGAAGAGGAGGAGGATGCGCTTGAGGACGAGCTTGATGATTTCGAATCTGAGTTGGAATCGGAGCTGGAGTCGGAACTAGAACTAGAGCTGTCGTTTTTGAATTTAGCGTTCGTTTTAATCATGACTTGAGTTCAATTGGTTGGAGATTCATACTCTTTCTCACTCTCGCTGCTGCTCGAAGGCTTATTCTCATCCCCGCTTATAGTAACTGAGGATTCATCCTTATCCTCCTTAGCCCCGTCATCAGAGGAATCTGAATCGCTGTCAGAATCAGAATCGTCAGACTCAGACGCGGCGGCTCGTTCATCATCGGCTTCGGAGGAGCTGTCGCTATCGTCGCTGCTTTCTTTCTTATCTTCTTCTTTGTTGGCCTCCTTCTTTTTCTCGCTCTTCGCCGTCTCGTCCTTTGAATTCCCCTTGCTTGATTGCCATTGGTCAAAAAGGTCTTTCAAACTTGGATAAACCTCTGGACGTTCAACCTTTTTGGATTCGTATTCGGCGTTGAAAATGGTGGAAGTAGAATTGAAACCGGCATCTTTAAGGAATTGCCCTATGGAAGCAAGGAGCTGTGGAGCAGGTACATCGGCGACTGGAGCGCTCTTTTTCGACTTGCTCTTCTTCTCTTTGGGGCTCATGACTGGTAGTACTGTGTTGAAAACAGCGGTACAATTGGTGGAGTTGAGTTACCGAATGGCGTAACACCAGGGAGGTAGTGGTGTTGTTTGAAGAGTGTTTTTGGAAAACCGGACTGAGGTGACTGTCGCAGATCTAGATTTGTATGTTTGCTTCCTGCAAAGCTTTTTTTTTTCGCTCCCTGAGATTTCCACGTGACCTTCAGCCTCTTATCAGAGACGTGCCTGTTCTAACCGTATACAGTAAGAAACAAACCTTTGTTAATTAAGCCTCATGAACCAAACCGGCTGTCATCGGATATGTAAGTGCGTATACATATATAGATCGAATATTTTATTTTTTAACTACATGTACTTAATCGTTTGTCTTGCTAATAGTGTCATGTGTAGAGTACATGTAATCAAGGGAAGTGGATGGCTGCTGCTGCACATAGGTAACTCTTCTGGGACGGTTGCAACTTGAGTTAGGTAGGTACGCCTACAGGTGCTTGGTTGGGCCAGCGACAGCTGCTGATGCTTGCTTCCCCGTGTGTACCTTCAACCTCCAACGTCAAGCAGAAACAGGTACACACAGCTGTACCTACACGTTGACCTCTCGTTATTAACAATCTTTTCGCTCGTACATCACCGAAACCCCAACGTGACACTTCTACTTTGCTTTGGGGTTGAGGACCATGGCGGATCCCTTTCCGCGCAATCGCCCTCCTAACGCTGCCCCCCCTCACCCTAGCTCTGCGGGCAGTGTCACAAAAGCTCAGATATTTGAAGACGAGAAGAAGCGGATAACTGTCTCCTGCTTCTCCAGAACCGACACTGACGGTTCCCGTATGTAATCTTTGCCCGGGAGCACAGTATAGAACCAACATCATCTCTCTAACCTCGTCACTCTACGCGTTCCTAGTTCTTGAGTCCTATATCACACACTGCAAGGTCGTCGAAGATGCCACGTCCCCATCAGCACCACCACCGCCGGATGCTCCTAGCGATCAGAAGAAAGAGCGTGTGATAATCATTGCTGTTCGGAAATCCGGTAGAGTTCGTATGCACAAAGCTAGAGAAAATAACAATGGAACATTTCAAATTGGAAAGACATGGAATTTGGATGATCTCCAGGAGATTGAAAATTATTCGCCACCCAATGAAAAAGGATTCACGGTTACCATATTAAAACCCTATTATTGGCAAGCAAACTCGAGTAAAGAGAAAGACTTCTTTATTTCCTCAATGCTCAAGATCTTCAAAAAGTATACGGGGGGCAAAATACCAAACCTTATCGGATTTGAAAGGACGGATATTGATAGAATGGTTGATGGAGCCGCAAGTTTGCAGGTAAGGCAACGTCAAGAGGAAGAAGGATCTCGGGGGCATACACCACCAAATTTGCCTACGAGCCTATCACCTCCGTTGCTTAGGAACCTTGCAACAGCGCAGTCCATGGACTCCCTAACAAGGTCTGCTTCGCGGCAATCGCCAGGGATGAAAGGCATGGATGGATTATCCCCTCCCGTAGGTGTATTGCGGCCATCTCAATCTACAGATCGTCTTCCCAATAGCTCTCGGAGAGCACCAGATCCACTTGCTTTGGGTCGTACCACGTCCGGAAGGTCAACAGCATCTAACGATTCTATTCCGCCTCCTATTCCACCCCAAGGGCCTGGAAGGCGTCCCTCTGAAGGTTCTCAAAGATCCGGCCGTCAGCGTTCGAATTCTCGTTCAACTCAGGATGAGGGGGCCGGTCGTAGAGCACCCTCAGCAGAGAGAATGAGAAGAACCCCATCTTCCAACAGCCATCAATCTCGGGAGCCTGTGGAATACCAGCCTTTTAATAGTAGTAACAGTAGTAGGGTGCCGGATTCGTCCCCTACTGTCCTAGATCATACAGGCCGTCCCCAATTGCAATCAAAGAAATCCAATAAGGATGTGGGATCCGCGTTTAGATTGGCTGCGACAGCATTTTCTGCTGGAAACACAAAGTTTAGGCCACAGACTCCAACAACGCCAACCACGCCGGCACCAATGTCAAGAGGCCCTTCTCGCGAACAGGAAAGGCCCGCAGAGCTACCGCAGATCAAGTTCCCAAGAGACCAAGGGAGCGTGAATAATGTAGCTTCAACTGATAGACTAGAAGAAAGTGAAGACAGGCGATCGCGGTCACGAGATATTCCCCCAACGCAAATCGACCCGCCACCAAAAAGTGAGAGGAGAGCAACACTGACTTCCAGGGATAACATTATGGTGCCATTACGTGAGAAGCCACGAGATTTATCCCCTCAACCTCGGAATCAAGACTCTTTGGATATTCCTGGCCGAAGATCACCATCGCCTGATGGATCTAATTTGGATCCCAATGAGCGTAGTCCTCGAAGTAGATCACGGTCACCTAACACTAAAGGACGGAAACGAAAATCGGCCAAATCATCTTATTTAGATGATGTGGACACATCTCGTGTGACGGTAGATCTAGAGGATTTGCTGCATGAGTTCAATTGGGATGGACGAGGTAAAGTAGATGAGCTAGAGGCGAGTATTAAAAAGGAGATTGCGACCGTGGAGTCAACCAATATCATCATACACTCTGATGGTGATGATAGGGTTGAGGATCTGTCTGTTTTGCTTGACAAGGCAATTAAAGAATGTGAGGAGATGGACGCACTCCTAACTCTGTATGCTGTTGAATTGACCGTATGTTATACTCTTGTTTTCATGCTCATCGTATCATGATGTCTGATGTGATTCATAGAGTTTGAACGACGATATATCGCACATTGAGAACCAGTCTCAAGGTCTACAGGTCCAAACAGCCAATCAGAAGACTTTACAGAAGGAGCTTCAGAGTCTGTTGGAGACGATATCGATTGTACCACAACAACTCGACACTCTGAAATGTGGATCCCTTGATTCCGCCCAAGCACTTGAGGGCATCGAAGAAACGCTATTGGCCCTCTATAAAGCAATGGCAACTATTGACCCTCATATTGCGAGCTCCCCGGTTAATAATGGACGGAGGGGCTCTTGGAGTGATGAGGGGATCGGTACGATGCGAGCTCTACAAGAGAAGAAAGAAGGTTACCGGGCTGAGATAAACGCTTTTCTGGCAAGGCAGAGGCAATTCTTAGCTATCAAATTTCAGGCTGAAATTGCGGCACTGGAAAAACATTCCAAGGGCGCAGGGGTGGTCCAATCCGCCAAGCCAAAACTATTGGGGCATGACAGCGCGTATGTATCAATATATAGATTTGTCGGGCTCGTAGTGTTTACAAAAGACGTGGACCGGGAGGAATATATGGAGTTACAGAAGCTTTATATGAGGCCAGCGAAACAACTATTTGAAAACGAGTTCAGAGATCATATTTTTGCTTGGAAGAGGATAACGAGAAAACCAGCGCAGGAGGAAACGGATCTTGGTATGTGGGCCTCATTCATACTCATATGCAAATTGCTAATTTTTATCAGTCTTTACCGTCCAAGAGAAGGAAAACGATAACGTTGCTGTATCGGCTGCACGAAAGTTGACAGTCAAGCGGTCTCAGACATTGGCCAAGATTCGATCACCTACTGGGGAATCCTTTTCTAAGGATAAAAATCAAGATGGAAAAATTCACGCCTACGAAGCATTTGCTGGTGCATTGACGGAAATGTACAATCTTGTATTCAGGGAACAAAACTTCCTCGGCGAGTTTTACCACCTTTCATCTCAATTGCCTGCGGATTTTGTCGAGTTGGCAAGCAATTCCAAGCCAGAAACCCGGCGCTTAGGGGATTTGGGCGGCATAAAACCATCTGATCAGGATAAGATGAAAGGAAGGATAATGCTTGAGCTCATGGGTGAACTATTTTCGTTTTGGTTACAGGATTTGCAAAATTTGTCGGACTGGGTAATAAAAACCGATCCAGTGCACTGTGCCGGGTTATTATTTGCGATCGAGGAAAGGATTGATTCCCTGGAAGAGACAAATCAAGAGTATTTGCTCAAAACGTTGCAAAAGTTGCATGATCGGTTGGCGGGCTTGTTCTCAAGGTTTTTGGATGAGCAAATCAAGGCCATCGAGGAGACAAAGGTGAAGATCAAAAAGAGGAAGGGAGTTATTACTTTTATGAAAGTATTCCCGGTAAGATTTGTCTCACTTTTTATTCTTGAGTTTGATTTCTGATGGGTTTGGTCATAGGGCTTCTCTGCAAAGATTGAAGATCAGTTACCGCCAGAAAGCTCCAATCAGGATGATGAGCTGGATGTTAGAGAGATGGTCAATGATGGTTACGCGAAAATTAACAAGGCTATGTTCGAGTCTCTTCAAGCAATTGCAAAAGAGAGTCCCGCCGTTGCTAGTCAGAGTGTCGACCCCGAAGATAAAGAGCAATTGAACTATCACATCATGATGATCGAAAATATGCATCATTATTTGGAGGAGGTAGATACCAGAAGCAACTCTATCCTGGTCGATTTTAAGAAAAAGGCGGATGCCGAATTCAAGGAACATATGGGTCTTTACATCAGTGCCGTTATCAGGAGGCCACTTGGTAAAATTCTGGTACGAATCCACCCCCATCAAGGAAGCCAGAAAAGATAGCTAATTTCTGTAATCAATAGGATTTTATTGAAGGAGTTGAGGTACTACAAAGATCCGGTACAGAGGACATTTCGACCCGACACTCCCATTCGAAATCTGTATACAAGAAGATCCTCGGAAACCACGACGGCAAAGAAATCAAGCGTGGAATTGAGACCCTGAGGAAGCGCGTGGATAAACATTTCGGTGATTCAGATGATCCAGCTCTTTGCGCAAGACTACTCGAGAAAATCTTCGATAGGCTTGAGGCCGAGTACATTGATACACATAAGCGTGCACAGAAGTTGTTGTTGACAGTGTACAAGGATCAAGGCCTGGAGCTAGAATTTATGGTGCAGGATGTGCAGACAGCGTTCAGGAAGTAGCTGGCTCTTTTATTTATTGCAGTTGAGGGCTTTTATACTTGCGGATAGCTAGGAACGGAATACTACCAAT